ATTTGCGTTATCTTTATCCACAATACATGGGCAAAAACATGCCTATATAAAATTCATTGTAACTCTTTAGGATAGATAGAAACTCCTAATATTTTTTCATATTTGGATAGATTATGAGTTGCAGATATGATTTCATGTCTCATTTTATCCTCAATTAACTCATGACGTCATCATAATGGCCTTCAAACTCAAAATTTCAATTTGCATATTATGACGTCAGCATATTTTTGGAAAATTGATTGTATCTCTGTAAATATGGATCAATTTTCTTTTTAATTTTGATATGTTCTAGCTGAGACAATTTTCTACAAATGTAGTACTCACAATTTTTATTTTTGACAAAAGTATCATGGTGTATTTTTGCGATTAAAGGAGGCATGTCAATTTTTCGCATTTTGCGTGTATTCTCTATGGGACATGACTTTTTCTCAAAACTGGATTCTACACTCCTGTCTTTCGCGAGCAAAATCTCCGTTGTTTTAGCTTCATTTTCGCTGAGCTTCGGATATGTTGTAGCTGAGACAATAAGCTATCACAAGTGTGCCATTTATTTTTTCGATTAGATGCCGGGATCATGCTGATATTTCACTTGCAAAGTAGGATTTCTGAATTCCATTTCCCGTTTACGTGTAATCGCTATGGGAGATGTTTTGGTATATCGGTAACGCACTTGACTTCCAACCTCGAGATCCCTGGTTCGAGTCCGGGTGTCTCAAACAATTTTTTGCTCCACTTTTTTTTCCTTTTGACCTTCACTGTACCATCTCCTTTGATTGTTTAAACACGTAGATTCGCAAATAATGTCATAAATAACCCTTTTTACTTTATTATTACCCTATTTTCACTTAATCCATTAATTTCTGGGTGTAATCCCTATGGGAAATGACTTTTTCTCAAATCTGGAGTCTACATTCCTGTCTTTTGCGAGCAATATCGCCGTTATTTCTGCTTGGATTTTGTTGATTTTTGAATATGTTGTAGCTGAGACTATATGCTATCTAAATCAACCCTCATTTTTTTCAATAAGATGTCATGATCGCGCTCATGATCATGATCATGATCATCATTATCATAATGATGATAATCATTTATCAATTACATTTTCATTTCTTTGAATAAGATAAAATCGTCAAAAGGTGTTCTTCATGATGTATTTTAGAGTCAAATGTGTAACTGGTTACTGCACAGGGTCAAAGGTCATATATTGTTTCAATCTATCTTTCCTAGATCCATGATGATCAAGGAGACACAATCTAATCTTGACATTTGAATAGATCATAATGGGAGAAGCATATAAATGGGAGAAGCATTTTACAAAATAATATATCGTGTAATGCATTATTCGTTATGTAAACCATTATCATACGTATCACCTAATTCGTCTAAGTGACGAATTAAAGTCTAGTATTTATTTTGTGTCTGTATAGAAGAAATTACTATTATTCTTCCCCAATTTTGTTCGCAGGATATCTCAAGAATGGCTAAAGCCATTATCATGAAACTTGCCATGATGATAGATCCTAGTCTAACTTAGAACTGCGTGACTTTTCATAGACTCGACATCATCGTGACGTCATCTACGCGCCATTTTGTGAAAATCAACTTATGATCATATCTTCATAACGGAAAGTTATTTCTCATTTATAATTATCATGATTAAAATCAATATCTGTCCGGTCAATTTTGGGTCAATAAATGTGCGCAAATGCGCGCCTGCGCGTTCGTCCGCGCGTTTACGTGCGCGCAAAAATTTAAAATGCTCCAAATCATCCCAAATATTTTTTGCATATATTTCAGGCCATTCGGAGCATTTGACAAAATATCATGCATACGCGCATGCGCGCGCGTTTTTTGCACGTACTAGCATTTTGCGACGTAGAATCGCCGAATTTTCTCTGTTTTCATCTTTGGCACATTTTTCAAAGCATTTTGATAACTTGTTCACCTTTTTAAAACGCACTGAGCGTCCGTCAAAGTTGACAGCGCGCGGGCCTGCGTTATCTTTATCCATGGGCAAAAACATGCTTATACAAAATTCATTGTAACTCTTCAGAATAGATAGAAACTCCCAATAATTGTTAATATTTGGATAGATTATGAAATGGAGATATGATTTCATGTCTCATTTGACCCTCACCTAACTCATGACGTCATCATAATGGCCTCCAAACTCAAAAATGTAATTTGCATATTATGACATAAGCATATTTTTGGAAAATTGATAGTATCTCTGTAAAAATTGATTGTTTTTCTTCCAAATTTTAGTATGTTCTATCTGAGACAATTCTCTACGAATATAATGTCCACAATTTTTCATTTTTACAAAGGCATCATGGCGTATTTTGGGGATTAAAAGAGGCATGTCAATTTTTCACATTTTGCGTCTATTCTCTATGGGACATTACTTTTTCTCAAAACTCGATCCTACACTCCTGTCTTTCGCGAGCAAAATATCCGTTGTTTTAGCTTTGTTTTCGCTGAGCTTTGAGTATGTTGTAGCTGAGACAATAAGCTATCACACGTGTGCCTTTTATTTTTCGATCAGATGCCGGGATTATGCTCACATTTCACTTGCAAAGTAGGATTTGAGAATTCCATTTCCCGTTTACGTGTAATCGCTATGGGAAATGTTTTGCTATATCGGTAACGCACTTGACTTCCAACCTCGAGATCCCACAATATATGTCTTTCCTTTTTTTTTTCCTTTTTGACCTTTCACTGTACCATCTCCTTTGATTATTAAAACACGTAGAATCGCAAATAATGTAATGAACAACCCTATTTACTTTATTATTACCCTATTTTCACTAAATCCATTACTTTTTGCATGTAATCCCTACGGGAAATGACTTTTTCTCAAATCTGGCTTATACATTCCTGTCTTTTGAGCAATATCGCCGTTATTTCTGCTTGGATTTTGTTGATTTTTGAGTATGTTGTAGCTGAGACTATATGCTATCTAAATCAACCCTCATTTTTTCAATAAGATATCAGGATCACGCTCATGATCATGATCATCTTCATCATCATCATGATCATCATTATCATAATGATGATAATCATTTATCAATTACATTTTCGTTTCTTTGAATAAGATAAAATCGTCAAAAGGTGTTCTTCATGATGTAAATTAGAGTCAAAGGTGTAACGGGTTACTGCATAGAGTCAATGGTCATATGTTGTTACAATCTATCTTCCCTAGATCCATAATGATCAAGGGATCGTCACAATTTAAACTTGACATATGGATAGATCATAATGGGAAAAGTATTTTATAAAATAATATGATATCGTGTATTAAATGCATTCTTCGTTATGTAAACCAATATCATACGTATCACCTAATTCGTCTAAGTGACGAATTAAAGTCTAGTAATTTATTTGTAATTGATTCCATTTAGATATCCTATAAGAACTACGTAACAATTAACTTCAAACGTAATGCCGGCCGTAGAGGATGAAAGGGATAAGATAGATAGATAGATAAGATAGATAGATAATTTATTGGTCCATATTCAAAAACATAGAAAATTGGCCTCCACTGGCAGCACATAAACATAATACAAAGTAGTTACAAAATAATTGATATGTCACATAATGTACATAAATTCACACGAGATCATGACATTAACAAAAAGCATAAGTATAAATTACATAGTAATAGGGAAAACTTAAGAAAGAAGTCGACATTCAAAGATTGAGAAGTGAGAAAAAAGTCGTAAGGAGACTGAGGAGCAAAAATAGTAATAAGAGAGAGAGGGAAGAGGGGGAAAGAGACAGAGAGGGAGGGGAGAGATAGAGAGATAGAGAGATAGAGGGAGAGAGAGAGAAAGATAGGAACGAAAGGTGGACGTAAGGAGAGAAGAGGTTATAAATAGAGGGAGGGGAAAGAAAAGGAAAGGAAGGGGGACGAGTTATACACGACACATGTAACTGTCTATCTGAGAGGTAATAGACCAGTTTCGCAGTGTATCCACGTTGAATGCGCAGGTCCCCGCGAAGTGCGCGGACACGAATGACTCCTCCCACCCGCCAGGAACAATCGTACTCCAACAGGCAGAATGCGAGCTGCACACGAAAGACGCTACCAGGCTGGCAATACATTAGAGCTCGCCCAACCTAGCAACAACCAACGTACGCAACTCACACCCCGCCCACCAAAGCACAACCACTCCCAACGGTGAATGGAGCCACCCGCATCCAGGCACCCCGACAAAGACCCACGCACCCAACCCGAACTCACTGCGAAACTGGTCCATTATGTTGCACATTTTAAAAAACCGGCTTTATGGTACTAATTATGCGTAAAACAGAGCAGAGGCAAGATTGAACGGTGGGTCAATTGGCAGGTGTTAGAGTTACAAGGAAAATATAAATATATAACTGGCTAACTGGCTGGCAAGAGACTTTCAAAAGGGTCATCGCTTGACATTAGCATTGAACATATGAATGACATTCGGTACAAAGGATTGTCTGTAACGACAGCGGTTGCTCCTCGGTACGCGTAGGCGAATACCTGAGCGATTGAATCCAAAGAAATGATGTAATGGATGTGATGGGTCATTCATTATTGTGTGAACTTTAAGTAAGCCGACTATAAGTTGCATAGTCGGCTTAATATATATACATGCGTAGAATAAGGGAAGTTGTTATTGTAATACTATTATAAGTTGTAATTGCTTCCCCATACAAAACCGTCATGTCGGAATTAAAACAAACTTTCTTTCGAGAAACTCATTTGAATATTATCATGTAAAATCCGCTGGAACCATTTTTGCCCCCGTACAAAAAACGACCGATTACTAGTAAATCGTCAAGTATGTAATTTTCAATTTAAATTGGTTATACATCGAAATTCATTGTTAATGAGAGCAATGTAAATCCTCAAAGTCACTAATAAATTACTATTCCGATATTCATGCCCATCCAATAAGCACCTAATGAAAATCATTGTCCGGTAGCTGGACTACTTGCAATGATAGAGTACAGAGAAAACATACGTCCTGAGTAGCAGATGGCTCCTGCATCCCTTGTATGACTGCATGAGTAACGTCCAATCCCTGAATGAGTACACTCTGCTAGGTTGTCTTCAGTTCCGTCACAAGTGACATACTTTAGCAGGATACGACCAGAGCCCTGACCAAACCTTGCAGATCTCGGTGCATTTAAGGCTCCATCAAACCCCAGCATTCTACAAACCACCCTCGCGTCTCTCAGGTCCCACCACGAATCACAGATGGTTCCCCAGGATCCATCGTACAGTACCTCTACTCTGCCTTCAGCATCGTTTAGTCCACCGACAAGACGAACTTCAAATGGATCTGTGGGGGAGAACCAGGGGTGAAAGGATTTTTCTCTTGATACCATGTCATATTAAGACCAAAAGAGTACAAAAGTTATGGTTAAAACGCATATAAGTTTTTTTTTTTTTAGCCCAAAATCCTCGAGAGCAAACGCCTTAGAGTCCTGAGATAAGTATGGGTAGTGATAAAGAAGATAGTTAATACAGCCTATATTTCGTTCTTAAGATGAGAAAAGCGCTACAGATATATATATATATTAACCGGAAATGTCTTCCATTTCGGATGGATTTGTTTAGGTTTGAACGGTTTCTATGTAGAATACGGACCAAAAACTCAAAACTACCTCCGAAATAACAAATGACGCCTACATCCCTTGCATGACCGCATGAAGTATAATTTCCAACTCCTCCATGAGCGCAGTCTGCTAGGATGTCTTCTGTTCCCTCACACTCGACATAAGCTAGAAGAATACGCCCAGAGCCCTGACCAAACTTAGCCGACCGTGGCAATTGAGGGCACCGTCGAAGCCCAGCATCCTACAAACCACCCATGCTTAGAAAAAAAATCCCACCTGTCATCACAGAGAGTTCCAATCCAAAATCCAATCCAGGAATTTTTAAAGCGCCAATATCTAGTTGCCTAATCAAAGGCGCGGATGAGCCTGAAAAACTACCAAAAATGTATATTCATGATTCTAACTAGGAATGACAGAAAAAGCAGTGACTAATGGTAAGCACTCTGAAATAGGTATGTCTTTAGTTGAGTTCTGAAAGTGGATAACTGGTGACAAGAGCGAAGGATTTGGGGTAGACCATTCCACAATCTCGATGCACAGACAGTAAATGATCGATTACCTAGAAGAGAGCGTGTTCGAGGACTCTCAAGCAGGTATTTACCTGCAGATCGCAAATTATATAGTTCCCCAGGATACATCGTACATGGCCTTTACTCTTCCTTCAGCGTCGTTAGACCCACTGATCAGACGAACTACAAATGGACCTGTGGGGTAGAACTTTGGGGTGAAAGGATTTTTCTTTTGAATAATGAAAAGTCGTACCATGTCAGATTTAGACCAAAATAGTGCAAACTTTATGTTTAAAACGCATATAATTGTTTTTTTTTAGCCCACAATCATCGGGAGCAAATGCCTGAGAGTCCCGTAGTGAGCGAAATACTGACAAAGATGTTTGTAAATATAGCCCATATTTCGTTTTTAAGAAGAGAAAAGCTCTACCGATCCGCTGTTCAAGACCTGTAACTCTTCCCTGAGCACTGTGTGAGCCATTGACGAGACGTATCAAGTAGACGAATGTTGATAACTTTGACTAACGATTGTTTTCTATTATTTGTAGATACAGTGTAGCGCAACCAAAATAGGTTCCTTGCTTAGAAAGAGCGTATTAATCACCTCTACTTTAAAAAAAAAAAAAAATCATAGACACAGACACGTTAGCCAATAATTCCCAAACGAGGAAAAAATAAAAATGAATAAATCATGATTTTTTCAAAGGTTAGATAGATGAATCAAGTTTTAAAATTAAACATGTTTTAGTAATTGTGCTGTATTTGTATATTAAATGTGGTAATATCTAGCAAGGTTCCTTTTCTAGGCTTTTGTTTCATCATCACAAACTTCAGTGTTAAAGCAATGGATCGAATACGTATAACGTAATAATGTAGACATGTTGTGGACTAGTAGATAAGCTATGGTCACAACTCAAAGCGGCGACCGACCGATATGCAGCCTGCTCGGTTGCTGCTGGAATTTAGGCATAGCCCAACAATTTTTGGAGAAGTCGAGCAGGCTGTAGTTCCCTGTCGATTTCCCGTCAATCTATGGTGGCCCTGAAGGGACATCGCGAATAGACTAAATCGTAAAAAATATGCGATAAAATTCACGATATCGTCAATTTTATCGCATATTTTTCACGAAGAAATTCACGAAATTGACGATATCGTGAACTTTATCGTGAACTTTTCACGATGAAATTGACGATATCGTGAATTTTATCGTGAAAAGTTCACGATATAAAGTTCACGATATCGTCAATTTTATCGTGTACTCTATCGTGTACTCTATCATGTACTCTCCTGACGGGCGCTTCGTAAACAAAACCAGCCCTAGCTGGGGGAGACAGAGAGAAGGAAAAAAGGGAAAGGGAAAGAGAAGATAAAAAGAAAGAAAGAATAATAAGAAGAAAAGAGGGAAACGGGGGGGGGGGGGGGCGAAGGGCTCTTGCCTCCTCCTCACTCCCCCCCCCCCTCCCCGCCAAAAAATAAATCAGAGAGAGAGAGAGAAGGGAAAGGGAAAGGGAAAGAGAAGATAAAAGGAAAGAAAGAAGAGGAAGAAGAAGAAAAGAGGAAAACGGGGGAAGGGCGAAGGACTCTTGCCCCCCTCCCCCCCCCCCGCCAAAAAAATAAATCAGAGAGAGAGAGAGAAGGGAAAGGGAAAGGGAAAGAGAAGATAAAAGGAAAGAAAGAAGAGGAAGAAGAAGAAAAGAGGGAAACGGGGGCAAAGGGCTTTTGCCTCGTCCCCCGCCCCCCGCCAAAAAATAAATAAGAGAGAGAGAGAGAAGGAAAGGGAAAGAGAAGAAAGAAAGAGAAAAACGAAAAAGAGGGAGAATAGGAAAGAAAGGAAAAGAAAGAAAAGAAAGGAGGCAAGAGCCCTTCGCCCCTGTTTCCCTCTTTTCTTATTCTTTTTCCTCTTCTTTCTTTCCTTTTATATTTTCTTTCCCTCTCCCTTCTCTTTCCCTTTATGGCGGGAGGGGGGAGGGGGAGGTAAGAGCCTTTCGCCCTTCCCCCGTTTCTCTCTTTCCGTCTTCTTCTTCTTTCTTTCCTTTTATATTTTCTTTCCCTTTCCCTTCTCTCTATCTCTCTCTCTCTCTCCTATTTATTTGTTGGCGCGGGAGGGGGGGGGGAGGAGGCAAGAGCCCCTCTTTTCTTCTTATTCTTCTTCCTTTCCTTTTTTATTCTCTTACCCTTTCCCTTCTCTCTCTCTCTCTCTCTCTTATTTATTTTTTGGGCGGGGGGATGCAAGAGCCCTTCGCCCCCGTTTCCCTCTTTTCTTCTTCTTCTTCCTCTTCTTTCTTTCCTTTTATCTTCACTTTCCCTTTCCCTTTCCCTTCTCTCTCTATCTCTTATTTATTTTTTTGGCGAGGGGTGGGGAGGGAGGAGGCAAGAGCCCTTCGCCCTTCCCCCGGTTCCCTCTTTCCTTCTTATTCCTCTTCTTTCTTTCCTTTTATATTTTCTTTCCCTTTCCCTTCTCTCTCTTATTTATTTTTGGCGGGGGGGGGGGGGGGGGGGAGGAGGCAAGAGCCCTTCGCCCTTCCCCTGTTTCCCTCTTATTCCTCTTCTTTCTTTCCCTTTCCCTTCTCTCTCTCTCTCTCTCTTATTTATTTTTTTGGCGGGGGGGGGGGGGAGGTAAGAGCCTTTCGCCCTTCCCCCTTTTCCCTCTTTCCTTCTTCCTCTTCTTTCTTTCCTTTTATATTTTCTTTCCCTTTCCCTTTCCCTTCTCTCTCTCCTTATTTATTTTTTGGCGGGGGGGGGGGGGGGGAGTGAGGAGGAGGCAAGAGCCCTTCGCCCCCCCCCCCCGTTTCCCTCTTTTCTTCTTATTATTCTTTCTTTCCTTTTATCTTCTCTTTCCCTTTCCCTTTTTTCCTTCTCTCTGTCTCCCCCAGCTAGGGCTGGTTTTGTTTACGAAGCGCCCGTCAGGAGAGTACACGATAGAGTACACGATAGAGTACACGATAAAATTGACGATATCGTGAACTTTATATCGTGAACTTCACGATAAAATTCACGATATCGTCAATTTCATCGTGAAAAGTTCACGATAAAGTTCACGATATCGTCAATTTCATCGTGAAAAGTTCACGATAAAGTTCACGATATCGTCAATTTCGTGAATTTCTTCGTGAAAAATATGCGATAAAATTGACGATATCGTGAATTTTATCGCATATTTTTCACGATTTAGTCTATTCGCGATGTCCCTTCAGGGCCACCATATCAATCGCCGGTCGATTTTAGGTAATAAATTAGGAAGCTTCTCCGGGCGGCGTCCCGGCAGTGACTGACTGATGACCCACCGATTCCTGAGCGGTCTCCCATCGGCCACCGGCTGATTTTAAAGAAATTGCCCGGCGGCCGGCCGGTGATCGGCGGGGCACCAAAATACGCTCGTTGCCCGGGCGGTCGCCGCCCTGGCAACGACCTAATCGAGCGTTCGCCGTCGAGCGATATAGGTCAAAAATCGAAGATGCGAGGTCAAATGCTGCCGACCGATTTTGAACTCGCCGCCCAGTGACCGACTAATCTCCCTGCGACGACCGGGCAGCGACTGGGCGGAGACCGCTCGGAAGCCTTTGACTTAGCGGCTTCAAAATTAGACCATAAACGCTCAATTAAGTCGGTGCCCGGGCACCGCGCGTATTTTAGGCGGCGAGTGAAAAGTGAGCAGGCGCCGCCGAATTTTAACTCCGCGCTAAAACTTAAGCGGCGACCGAGCGATGCCCTAAAAACAAGCGGTGCCCGGGCGTTCGCAGCCCGGGCACCGACTTAATTGAGCGTTCGCCGTCGAGCGATTTAGGTCTAATTTTGAAGCCGCCAGGGCGAAATTGGCTAAAAACTCGCCGCCCGGCCGCCGAGCCACTCTCCACCCAGGTGTAAATGGGTACCTGATATGCTTGAGCGCTATTTACATTGGCAGCTCGGCTACGACTAGGGTAATATGTGTAAAGCACCATGAGCGTCAGAGCTAGGATACTGGCGTTATATAAATAACCATATTATTGATTTATTATTATTTATTATTAGGTGGTCTGTCGTTTTCGACAGATCACCTGTTGTTTTCGTCAGAATTTTCTTTCTTTCTTTATTATTATTTATTTTTATTTCTTCCAGTTTTTTGTTTACCGGTTAACTCAAGATCGGTTGTGTTAATTTCTTTCAATTTTGACACAGTCATAGGTCATTGTCATGAGACATGACAGGAACATTTTCAAGGTCATCAGGTTATCGTGACGTCATCCAGGCGCCATTTTGTGATTATCCATCATATTTTCA